TTATATAAAGAAATTACTTCCCACCATCACAAGAAGTATAAACAATTTTAGTAACTTACCACCTCCTCTTAAAATACAACAAATGATCTCTTCTTCCCAGATCCCATCTCTTATCTATAAACAAATCCCTAAAGCCTCGTTGTTCAGCCCTGATCAGCAAAAGCCCATTAAGGGTTACCAGAGATAACAACGTTTCTATTTTAGCCTTCATCAAATAATCCAACTTCATATTCCTTCCTTTTACTTTTAACAATCTTGATCTTTAATCCCTTCAGATAATGTCCTAGACTTCTTCTCATTTTTTCTTTGTCCCTTCTCACAAAATTCTTCAAAACTTTAACAAGCTTCCTTTGTAAATCCAGTACTGTATAGGAAAATTATCCAGGTCACTGTTTTGGTTTGTTATTTGTATATCCTTTTTAATTATCAAGACATCAGCTGATTTCATTTTCATGTCCAATGTAGCATCTTTTTCCATATCGTTCATGTAGCCTGTCATTTGTTAAATCCACTTTCAGATCGGTCTCAGTCTTGTCCGCTAAAGCTTGTTCCTCTTCCATAACATCTTTTAAACACAGTCTCTCTATAGAGGCAGACATTCTTTGACTTTTGGGTCCATTGTTCAAAAATATCCTTCAATATGTCCAAAGTTAAAATATTTTGCTTCATTCTGTATTTCTAAGTCAAATTTAAATATTTGTCTCCTTTCATTATAATCTTTAGTTCCTTCTGGTTTCCTCTAGTGTCCAACCTTCAAAGTCCCATCCTATCATGTTTTTTTTTTTTAAGAATGCAAAACAAAAGCACTTTCCCACAGGAAGGAAAATCTTATTTCAAATCCATGTGGACCCTTAGTCCATTTGTAACTTTCCAAAATCAACATTCTAAACACCCTTTTGCTGTTTCTTCCCTGCCAAAATTTTTTTAAAGTCCTTAAACTTGTATTTAAAACGTATTTCATTAAGAATCAAAGGAAACTCACCTGGTGTTTTCAGACTTGTCGATCCAAAGGTTCCTAATAGCGGAAAAGCAGTTAACAAGCAATTTCCGAAAGTGATTAGAAAAGGTACGCAAGCCCAGTGTCCTTTCAAAGGTGCCGACTGTGGTTTGAGCAAGATGGCTATTCCCTTGTCTCCCAGAGCTCTAAACCCACCGGAGACCGCTTCTTGCGGTCTCCTTGCGAGGAGCAGCTGTCTGGAGCACTTGTGGGTGATCTCAAGTCCTCTCCTGGTCTGGAGAGGAATTATTGAAGAGCCGGTCTACTCACTGGCTCTTCATTCTGCCGTGGTTATCGGCTCCACTTTTAGTGGAGCTGTCTTCAGTTCGCCATTTTTTCTCTGGAAGTCTGGAGTTGTTAGGGTTTCAACTCCCACCATCCCCAGTTAAGAGAAGCTGGTCCTGTAATTGATCTGAGCCATATCTCTGTTACGACTGTGCTAACATCAGGCTGCTACCTCTGGCTAAAAGGTCCCTACCTACCTGCCTGCAGAAATTATTATTGCCGTGAAAATGCTTTCCAGTGCTTGGCCTGAGACAGTGTAAAAAGGAAGGCCATGTCTTGCAGGTGATGTGCGTCCAGATCAAATGCTTCCATGAGATCATCACCATCGGCTACAGTGTGTATCATTCTTATGAGCTGCCCTGGTTCAGGACACTTAGTTGGTAAGTGCAGGCAGTGTTATTTATTGGTTTGTATGGTCTGGAGAAGTTCAAGGGGAGTTTTGTTTCCATTTTCCTTGAGATCTCTGTAGAGCCTTTCCACACTTGGGCATCATCCTCTCCCTTCCTTGAACTAGAGCAGGATGGGGACAAAAGTTGCAAGTCATCTTCTGGGCCATTATGAATGGTATCTGCCATTGCCAACTATGGTGATACTTAATCCCCTAGTTCCCCTTCCAGCTGTCTTCAACTTGAAGCTTCCTTGATCTGTTGCCTTCCAGATATCTTGGGCTACAACTTCCATCTTCTCCAGCTAGCCTGGTGGGAATTCTAATCCAGTATTACCATCTTTATATGGAAGGCAGTAGATTGAGGGAGGATGTTCTGTGGACACATCTCTAGTGAGAATGCCTCACCTGCCTTTATTGAATTCTGTCCACTTGAAGTTCTGAATGCAGGTGGTCCTCAACCAGTGCAAGGATCAAGCTTGAATTTGGTTGGAGCAGGCATAGAAGAGTTTGTTTCCAAACCTTCAGTTTTGAGAATACACCTGCGGTTTACTCGATTAGAAATAATCAGCAGGAGCAAGTTAATATTTTATTGTGCAGGAGAGGTCGATTGTTGGAATGTCCACCATTTTCTAGTTACCCCTTTTACCTTCCTGCAGTACCATCTGACAGTTATTTTTGTTAGAAACTATTTGTTACTATACACTGATAGATGCATCCTTCAGATTTTACTCTGTTTTCATATAAGAATTAACTTTAGTTTAATCTCCAGCATCAAACTGTTTCCTGTCACTTTAAAAATACAATTTAAGGAACACTGAAAACGTTGCAGTTTATCTTCTGTGGACCCAAGAAGGTTGTTAACTTTGGTGAGATGCTCTCAGAGTTCTTTTTGTAGGACCACATATTTTGAAGGAGCCTCTAAAAGAAAGCTAAGTGTGATGGCCTGCTAATCTGCTCACACCTCCAAATCTATGATAGATTTTTGCTCAACCTCTCCCACTGAGGAATTCCAATTATCTTTCGGGAAAGGACACTTGTAAGGCTCAATACAACCCTGGATATATCTTTTTCAGGTACTTCCTGCTCTGTGTGAACTATTTTTTCTACGGTGAGACAGTAACAGATTATTTTTTCACTCTGGTCCAGAGGGAGGAGCCCTTACGGATTCTTAGCAAATATCACCGGTTCATTTCCTTTACCCTCTATTTAACAGGTAAGCAAAGCCATGTTGGGATTTCTTGCTTGGATTCTCTAACATAAGGATTCTCAACCTCAGCAACTTTAAGAGTTGTGGACTTCAACTCCCAGAATTCCCCCAGCCAGCATGCTGGCTGGAGAATTCTGGGAGTTGAAGTTCACCCCTCCTGCTGAGGTTGAGAAGCACTGCTTCAGCACATCATAACTTGCTGGGAGGAGTCAAAATGGGGAGGAGTCAAAATGAATGGGATGGGGGATTGTTCATGGGACCACAGAATGGGAGGGGGGTCTCAAGAGCCATCCGGTTCAACCCCTGCTGGATTTTAGTTGTGCCCCTGACTGAAAGGGTCTTCAGAAGGTGGCTTAAGATAGTGTATAGTTGGTGAAGGAACTTTTGATGGATGAGCTGAAGAGGAGATGAAGGGACCTTTATGTCTGCAAACCTCAGGCCGTATCAACCTCTGTTTAGGAACTATAGTTCAGGATTGGGTTGCAAGCATTTCTGAAGGGGACCTCAGCCCATTCTGTTCGGGCAGGGAGAGCAGATGAATGTCACTCTGTCTCATAGGCTTCGTGGCGTGTGAAACCTCCAGACCTTGTGTTCTCTAGGAGTGGTGATCCCACAGCAGGAAGGAAAGTTCCTTCCTCTGGCTGATGGCAGGCTTCCCGTGCAAAACTCTGTAGTCTGAGATCCTGGCAGAGCGGAATCCAACGCTTGGGCCTCCTGCCACAGTGATTTTGATCCTCCGTGAGCAGCGTGAAAAGTGGCTGAGCCCAGACAGAGCTTATAGGAGATTGCGTGGCTGTTTCTGCTCAGGAGGGGCGAGTTAGGAAAATGTGGGATGTAACCTCAGTAGCTTGTGAGCCTAATCCAGGAAAATGTAAAACAACAACAAAAGGCTGCAGGGAGGCTCTCCTCCATCCTCAAAGCCATCCAGCTCGCATTTCCTGCCTCCCTATTTGCTGCCCTCCTTCCCATCATATATCTAGAGCAGCGATATCCGTCAATATCCATCATTCTGATTCCTTCCTAATCTTCATGTGATAGGGCAGGGGTCCCTTTCCAATGGGGGGCTGTGTGTTTTTCATTATTTTCAGCCTCAGGGTGAAATGCATGATGATGGTTTCATCTGAGTAGCTTATTTCTTTTTAGGAGTTTCCTGGATTAGGGAATGTCAAAAAATTGATGAAATAAATTGTATAGGGAATGGCCTTGAAGGAGAGGAAGAAGAGCTGCTCCCAAAGCAGCAGTCAGATAAGAGGGCTTGAGTCCATTCCTAGAAAGTAATGTGAGAAAACAACTCAGACAAGCCCCTCCCTAGTTCACATGAAAACAGGGAGGGAAGGGGAAGCACATTCAGACTTGCAAGTTTCTGTTACTGTACCTTTGCAATAAAAGTAGTTTTAGACCTATATGGCATTGGTCTACCTTACAGGGTTGACATCAGCCTTCTGAATGTTGACAATACCTGGTTTGCAACTTTATCCCCCCCCCGCTCACTGTCGTGATCCTGTTGCACGCACGCACGCACACACAGAGGAGTCTAAATTCTGGAACAGCAGTAGCTTGCCTGACAGCAGCTCGCTTGAGTCTGGTCCGGCAGTGCAGGAGCGCAACGTAGCAAGAGACAGGACACCCGGCAGCAAAGACGTGAGCGAGGCACCGGCAAGACACAGTCAAACACGAGCATATACAAAGGAGGCACAAGGGGGTACTAGACAGTTGTCGTCTCCAAACCTCCCCTTCCATTGTGCCTATTTGTTAACGACATCTGGTGTTCCTCATTTCGGAGGGCGAGGCTCCCTTCTTGCGAGTAGCCTCGCCGAACGCTTTTGCAACGTTCTTTTTTCCGCGCACCTCGTCCTCACATCAAGTCCTCCACCTCATTATCAAATACTAACTCTGGCTGCATGCTGTCCAACCCCACCTCTGACTGCTCAGCCTGCTGTTCATCCGGTGTAGCCTCCGACTCTGACCCTGAATTCGATTCAGAGCTACCCATGACACTCACACCAAAAGAGAGAAAAATGCTGTGCATCTGAAAATTACCATTTTCCTTCTAAATTTCGACAGTTCCAAGCTTGGAGAGTGTGATTTGGGGTTATGTGCATGGACCCCACAGGGAGGCCCTGGTTTATGAGGTAGAACTGTGGCTCAGAGGCAAAGATTTTGGTTGTCTTCTGGCACAAGCTGTGGCACACCCAGCATGATGGTGTTGCCCCCTGTGTAAGGGGAGAGGAGGGGGTCGCTGTTTCTCCCTAACCTCACTGGGGTTAGAAGCGCTAATTGGACTCTGACAACTCCCTGTGGGTGATTGGAGAGCCCGGACTTACTACGTTCCATTTTCTTTCTTCTACCGCAGGGTTTTGCATGTTCGTGCTGAGCCTGGTCAAAAAGCATTATCGCCTGCAGTTCTACATGGTAAGATGAAGTAAATGGATTCCGTGCTTTCAGATTAAGTAGCCGGGGGGGGGGGGGCTGAGAGGAAGAGAGAGATGGAAATGAACACAAAATTGGCACCAGGACAGAACAACAGACCCCAAGCTTAGAGGTTTTGCCCGAGTGAGAAACCCACAGCTGCTGGGTTTCTAGATAGTCTGAAAGCTTCCTTGGCATTTTCTGATTCTAAGACATCTCGTCCCTGGTACACACACTTCTTCTTTTCCTTTATTTGCACTGCATTTCTGGGCAGTCTAGTCTGTAGTACTTCAGTCTGTTAAACATGGATCTCCAGTAAATGTGTTCATTGATGGGTTACTTGAATGGAATGTTTGAGAATCAAATTCTTCTAATCTCCTAGAGCAGGGTTTCTCAACCTTGGCAACTTTAAGAGGTGTGGACGTCAACTCCCAGAATTCCCCAGCCAG